GTGACTCGGGGACTACCTGTAAAGTTAGGACGTTGCAAAGACAGCTAAAGGAAAATGAAACTGTTTTAAGGTCCCCTATCAAGAAGACACCATGCAGAGGTGGAATTCAGCCGGTTCTGACCGGTTCTAGAGAACCGGTAGTGGAAATTTTGAGTAGTTCGGAGAACCAGCAAACCCCACCTCTGACTGGCCCCGCCCCCCTCTATTCTCTGCCTCCCATTGAGTCCCAGCGGATCGGCTGGGTCTTCTTTTGTTGCCCTGAACAGGAGAACAGAGCTGGAAAGCAGGTTAGTGGGGTGGGGAGGGAATGGGGATTTTGTAGTAACCTTCCCCCAGGAACGGGGAAGAAATGGAGGTTTTGCAGTATCCTTCCCTTGCCACACCCATCAAGCCTCGCCCACCAAGCCATGCCACATCCACCAAGCCACTCCCACAGAACCGGTAGTTAAAAAATGTTTTAAATCCCACCTCGGAGACCATGGTAATAAAAGGATGTTCGAGGCTTGCTGAAGTTTGAAAAACTTTTAATTGATGCCAAATGAATGCAGCAATGGAGTTGCAATGGAGACTTTTACCAAATTGAAAAATCTGGAGCGATCCTGACTCTCAAGAGCAATTACTCTCTAAGCAAAAAAAATACTCTTGTTTTTTTTTTAAACGAAAAAACATAAATATAGCACAGGCTTGAATTTATTCTGCTATAATCACCACAATCTGTCCTCTTAACAGCTGAAAGCGCCTTTAGTTAGATTTTTTTTTTTTTTTTTTGGAAATTAATGTATCCCCAAATCTGTTAAACTGAGGGGAATGAAGATTTTTTTTTTAAACTCTGAGATATAATTAGGCGTAGAGAGATGTCCGAATTTCAGTTTATTTCCATTCTCATTTTCTCCTCATCTTACCTTAACTCAAACCTGTATCATTTTGCACTGGTTTTTTTTTTAGACACACCCTCTTTAATTCATCTGCATTTGTATGCGCATATTCTGAATATATGCAGCTTTAAAAGCTGTTTCTGCTTACAGAATGCTCTTTGTACAAATTTATTTTTTACTAATGTATGCAAGGGCTTCAAGAAAGTATCTTTTCTCGGAATTTCACACCTCGGCTCAAGCCCTCTCAAGACGCATTTTTAAGATGTGTACTTTGAAACCAAATGGGATCAATTTTGCCTATGCAAATCTGGAAGGCCTTTTAAAATGCAAATTAATACAATAATGAGACCGAATGAGCACCTGTAAAAATATCATGGGTTGGTGCGGGGGGAAATGACTTCTCCATTCACCTGTCCTCCAAGGACAGGGTGCATTTAGATTCCAAGTTCCTAGAACTGTCCAGGTATGTTGAGGTTCCTATCACTGGCTGGTGTGTGAATCTACTGGCTTTGGATTTAAAAGAGTTTGGTGAACTAGTGAAAGCGACAAACCTAGAAACTGGGAGGTGGTGAGTTCTGGTCCTAGCTTAAGACCAAAACCAGGTGAGAGTGATTTTAGACCAGTCCTTTTCTTTCAATAAGAAAGAAAGAAAGAAAGAAAGGAAGGAAGGAAGGAAGGAAGGAAGGAAGGAAGGAAGGAAGGAAGGAAGGAAGGAAGGAAGGAAGGAAGGAAGGAAGGAAGGAAGGAAAAAAGAAAAAAAGGGCAGGGCAAACTGTTTCATGAAAATTGCAAAGACTTAACTTTGGGGAAAATGAAAGGAGGAGGAGGAGGAGGAGGAAGAGAAGGAGAAAGAGGAGTAAGAGAAGGAGAAGGAAAAGGAAGAGGAGAAAGTAGAAATGGAGGAGGAGGAGCTAGAAGTAGAAGAGGAGGAGGAGAGGAGGGAGGAGAAAGAAGAGGATGAGAAGTAGGAGAAGAAGAAAGGAAAAGGAGAAAGGAGAAGGAGATGAGGGAGAAGGAGAGGAAGGAAGAGAAGGACCAGAACAATGAGGAGAAAAAGAAGGAGAAGAAGAAAGGAGAAGGCGGTGAAGGAGAAGAAGGAGGTGGAGGAAGAGAAGGAGAAAGGAGGCGGAGGAGATGGAAGAGAAGAAGAAAGGAGATGAAAGTGAAGGAGAAGGTGGAGGTGGAGGTGGAGAAGGAGGACGGGGAGGGGGAAGGAGTGAAGGAGGAGATGAAAGAGATGGAGGAGAAGGAGAAAGGAGGTGAAAGAGAAGGAAAAGGTGGAGGAGGAGGAGAAGGAGAAGGAGGTGATGGAAAGGAGATGCTGGCTGAGGAATTCTGAGAGTTGGTCCATCCATTTAAAGTCACCAAAGTTGAGGAACCCTAAGCAAGGGGCTGACCTCTGCTTCTGAGAGGGCTTCTTCTGGGCCAGGGCTCTCCAACCTTGGCAACTTTAAGACTTGGGGACTTCAACTCCCAGAATTCCTCAGCCAGCCAGGTTGGAGACCTCTGCTCTGGGCCACCATTTCTAACAAACGAAGCGAATGCCATTGGGGTGAAGAGCTTTCCCCTGGGATTCATGGGGATCTTGAATGCGTAGGACAAACATGCTCTCCACAAGCTAGTTCGCTACCTTCGCCTCTCCCTACCTTCTTCCCTTGAAATATTTCTCAATCACCCCCACCCTGTACCTCATTAAGGACCATCCTTCCTCGGTGGCCTCATTTACCTCACAATGCTCCACTCGGGTTCGATTCTCAAAATGGTCGGGTCCTCCACGTATTTAAACTTGAGCTCTTTGTGCATTTTAGCCTTCTCCAACTCCTTCCGCAGCGTGGCCTTGTCCACCTTCACGGTTACCTCCACCATGTTCTTCTCCAAGATGTTCCCAAAAGCTGTGGTGTTGCAAATGATGTATTCCGCTGTTCTCCTGTCAGGAAAAGGAAAGAAAGTAAACCGGCTTTAGAAAATGTTGGAAAAGTCTGCGGAGAGGTTGAGTCCTCCGGTCGGTCACGGTTGTTGTCCCAAAGGTTAATTTTCAAAATACAACTGGACTTTTATTTTTTTTCCCTCGAAGACATTTCACTTCTTGTCAAAGAAGCTTCTTCAGTTCTGATGGAATGGTGGAGAATGGGAGGGTTTATATTCCTCACAGTCATCTGGTCATTAGTGCTTTCTGTGGGAGTCGTTGAGGCCACTTGGAGGTTTATCTGTGCTCTCTTTAGAAGACTGCAAAGTCCACATTCAGGATGGAGAGGACCGCTGGTTTGAAAGAGGAGTGAAAGAGGCCATCTATGTTAAGACTGAACAGACCCTCCCTCAACAGAAGGGGAGGGATAGGACACTGTCAGAGTCTATTCCTGAACTGGAATAGGGCTTAGTCACAAGGTCAGTCAATGAGAGCTGAGTTGAGGGCTGAAACTTACAGAGAGAATCTGGGTGTGATTTATCTCTGCTCTGTGCTCAGCTCCATAAGTGAAAGAGAAACTAACTAGCTTGTTCATCTGCTGAAGTTGAGTTGCTGTCCTGCTCTGAACCTGTAACATGTCTGCTTCTGGTTGAGTTTGCTCCATGTTGGAGAAATCTACGACTGGTTTGTAAAATTTACTTTATATGTTTATAAAGAAGTGAAATGAAGCCTCAGTTTCTCCATGCTGGAGAAATCTACGACTGGTTTGTAAAATTTACTTTATATGTTTATAAAGAAGTGAAATGAATGTGTTTACTTTTCTGGTGCTGAATTTACGCTGCAATACACTGAACAGACACCAGCTGTCCCCCTATTAACAACGCAGTCCTTCCACCAGTTTCAACAAGATTCCACACACCCATTTGCGCTATTTTGGGGAGCACAAATAAACCTCCAAGTGGCCTCAACGACTCTCAAGAAGAGAGTCAGGTGGAGATGCTCCATCATCCAAGCTATGCTTGTCCCAAAGGTGCTTTTTCAAAAGGCAAGTGGGTCTTCCTTGGTTTTTCCTCGAAGACATTTCGCTTCTCATCCAAGAAGCTTCTCCAGCTCTGACTGAATGGCGGAGAATGGAAGGATTTATATTCTTTGCAGTCATCTGGTCGTTAGTACTCTCTCTGAGAGTCATTGAGGCCACTTGGAGGTTTATTGGTGCCCTCTTTTAAAGACAGAAAAGTCCCCATTTTGGACAGAGAGGCCCAAGAGTTAGAAAAAGGGGTCAAAGAGGCCATCTATGTTAAGACTGAACAATCCTCCCTCAACAGAAGGAGGAGGGCTATGACCAGGGATGGGATTCTACCGGTTGAGACTGGTTTGGGCAAACCGGATGTTAAATTTACATCTGGTTTGCTGAACTGGGAGTTAAACTGACCGGCTGGCCCCGCCCACCCCACCCCTCCCAGGTGTCTCCACGCGACCTGTTTTAAATGCAGGTAAGTTCAGGGACTGCGGGGTGGCGGCTCTGGGAGGGCAAAAAGTGGGCCAAACCAGAAGTTCTAGAAGTCCGGAAACGGGCCCGTTTCTGGCTTCTGGGGGCCCTTCGGAGCCCGGGGGAGGCCGTTAACACCCTGCCAGAGGCCCAAGAGAAGCCTCTGCCAGGCACAAAATGGCCCTCCCAGAAGTTCCGGTAGGCCACGCCCACCACGGCCACACCCACCCTATAACCAGGCCGCAAACCGGTTGCTGGGATTTTGGAATCCCACCTCTGGATATGACACACACCCCATATCTCTTTTTACAACACAGTTCTCAGAAGGCTCCACACTCATTTGCAGTATTCAGGTGACCCAGAGGGCACAGACAAAAACCTCCCAAGTGGCCTCAATGACCCTCAAGAAGAGAGTCGAGCGAATGCACCTGCCCAAGCTCTCTGCAGCCTCACATTGGATGTAGCTGGAACGTCTGGGGTCACTGAAACCAGAGAGAACACACAAATCCAGGAGACAAGCAGAGCCGTCGTCCGTCTGCAAGCCTCACAATCGGCAAGCTGGCAGGTGTTGCAATGACACACTGGCCTTCTGTTGCGGTTAGCCGGCAGCAGGTGCGGACGGCTGAGGAGAGCGAGGACTCAGATGAGGGGCCAGGACTGTTAGGGAGTGGACTGCTGCCTTCAGAGATTGTGGGGTTGGGGGCTGGCAGCAGCGATGAGGAGGTTCCCGAGGAGCCTGTGCCAAGCGTGCGCGCGCGCAGGGTTGCTTGCAGGAAAGAGCAGCTGCAACAGCACGGGCGACTCGGGAGTAAGGCTGCAAGGTAATGGCCCCTCCTTCAAGAGGATAAAAGCCAGCTGTGAATCGGACGTTCTTTGCAGGAAGCAAAGACGTTTTGAAACTCCAGCCCATTGGACATTCCAGTATATCCTGAGTTTGTATTTGAAGATTCTTGCATTGCAAATTATTTCTTGTCTGTTATCTTTTGGCCAGCCTTGCACAGTTTGGCAAGGCTTGTGGTTATCACAGCTAATTATTTTGTAAAAGCATTGCAAGGTTTCTGTTCCTTTTGGACTGTGTTTGATTGGTTGGGAAAGGGCGTGGGTCAGAACACCTTCCCACAGATCTTGACAACCCCCTGTGGGTGCCCAGCCCTTCCCCCCGGCCCCCAGAGAAGGCTTCCTCCAAATATCAATAATGGAGTTGACCCAGGGGATGTTTTATGGAGCTTCTCCGATCATTTGCCTTGGCTTTCTTTCTTTCTTTTTTTTAAAGGTAACATCAAGGCTTTCCCCACCAACATAGAAATAGCAAAAATCAGTAGTCTGCTGACGTTGCCCCCTCCCCACTAATATATATATTTTTTTAAAAAAGGCTTAAGCTTTTGGGAGCTACAGCCGGCTTCCTCGGATGTGCAAAGTGGCAGTACAGGGAGTCCTCGCTTAATGACCAGTTGCTTAGTCATCCTCTCCTTTTAATGACCCCGTAATCCCTTGCGGGGTGGAGTGTGGGTGACGGAATGGAGCTGAGGGTTTACTGGCCGGATGCCTTTCCTGTCGCCAGTGTGGAGTTTTGTTCAGCAGAGATAGTCTGATCGTAAGCCAAGCCTGACAGTCGTGAAGGGAGCCTTGTCCCATTTTATCACCTTTCTTGCCCACCCCCCACCATTGTTAAACGAATCACTAATCGCACGGCAGTTAAGTAAACCCAGCTTCCTCTTATCGTAAATCATAAACAGAGTGGTGTCGTAGCCTAGAGGTGGAGCTCTCGCCTCACAATCAGGAGGCGGTGAGTTCGATCCTAGGTAGAGGCAGATATTACTTTCTCTGGACACAATGAGAAATATTATCTGCTGAACAAAACTCCGGATTGGCAACAGGAAGGGCATCCGGCCATTTAACACTCTGCTAGCTCCATTAGGTTGCCCAGACTCCACACCACAAGAGATTATGGGGGGGGGGGGGGGGGGAAAAAAAAAAAGAAAAAAAGGGAAGGGGGGGGGGGGGGGAGGAAAAAGAAGAAAAAGAAGAAGAAAAAGAGGAGGAGGAGGAAGAGGTAGAGGAAGAGAAAAAAGAAGAAGAGGAAGAAGAAGATGACTGTGTGATCGTAAGTGGGAAGAGGAAGAGGAAGAGGAAGAAGAAAATGACTGTGATCGGAAGTGGGAAGAAGAAGAAGAGGAAGAAGAAGAGGAAGAGGAGGAGGAGGAAGAGTTAGAGGAAGAGAAAGAAGAAGAAGAGGAAGAAGAAGATGACTGTGTGATCGTAAGTGGGAAGAGGAAGAGGAAGAAAGAGGAAGAGGAAGAAGAGAAGGAAGAGGAAGAAGAGGAAGAAGAAAATGACTGTGATCAGAAGTGGGAAGAAGAAGAGGAAGAAGAAGAAGAGGAGGAGGAGGAGGAGGAAGAAGAAAATGGTGTGATCGTAAGTGGGAAGATCGGTCCTAAGTCACTTTTCTCAATGCCATGGTACATTTGAATGGTCGCTAAAAGAACGGCTGTAAGTTCAGAACTGCCTGCATCGTCCTCGCTCTTTCCCCCGACTTACCGGTGGAAAAGGCAAGGATATTCTCCGAACATTACGGAAACGTTGCTTCCCGCGTTCAGGTTTTTGCCCGTGATCGTGACTTGGGTACCGCCCGATATCGGTCCTTGCTTTGGCCTGAGATCAGAAAGAGACAGCATCTAAAAAAAAAGGAAAGGAAAAAGAAAGCGAAATTGAATGGAACAGCAACACCCTGAAAAGGGTGACGGGGCCTGATGAAAAGAGAAGACCAGAGGTTGTTCGTTCCAAGGACGACGGGTCTGAGTGAGCATCCTTCCAAAGCTTTTTCAAAACAACACTGAATAGAATAGAATAACAGAGTTGGAAGGGACCTTGGAGGTCTTCTAGTCCAACCCCCTGCCCAGGCAGGAAACTCTACACCACTTCAGACAAAGAAAAAACAACAACAGGAATGTGTATTACTTAACCGTTAAGAGTTATCCTGAAGTAAGATGAGTTCTTACTTCAAAACTTCATGATAAAATTCATACTGATTTTATGAATAAAGAAATAAATTAGCCACTTGTCTAATCAAAGAAATAGCCATGCCTTCACCCAACACACCGAACCAAAATCCGATAGTTTTGCAGTTGTTCAATATGCAAAACAGGGTAACTTTTAATTTTATGAATCTCTTTTCTTGCCCAGTAGCTGAAGGTGTTAGCAGCTGAACCCGGCCTAATTGGATAATTTCCAGTTCAACAGATTTCTTGATCCCAGAAAATGGTCCGGGTTCTCCTAGTTGATGTAAATGAGCATTGAATTGAAAGGGGAGGGGAAAAGGCAGGCAGGCAGGCAAGAAGGTAGAAGAGAAGAGAAAGAGAAAGGAAGAGGAGGAAGGAAGGAAAGGAAAGGAAAGGAAAGGAAAGGAAAGGAAAGGAAAGGAAAGGAAAGGAAAGGAAAGGAAAGGAAAGGAGGAAGGAAGGAAGGAAGGAAGGAAAGGAAAGGAAAGAAGGAAGGAGGAAAGGAAAGGAAAGGAAAGGAAAGGAAAGAAGGAAGGAAGGAAGGAAGGAAGGAAGGAAGGAAGGAAGGAAAGGAAAGGAAAGGAAAGGAAAGGAAAGGAAAGGAAGGAAGGAAGGGGAAGGAAGGAAGGAAGGAAGGAAGGGAGAAAGGATGGAAAAGGGAAGGGAGAGAGAAAGGAAAAAAGATAGAAGAGAAAGGAAGGAAAGAGGAAGAAAGGAAGGAGAAACAGGAAGGAAGGAAGAAAGGATTAAAGTTTGGATGGATTGATGGGTGGATAGCTTGATTTTTATCCCACAATCTCTATTTTACATTCTCTCTCTCTCCCCCTCTCCCCACACACACACACACACACACACACACACGATTTTACTAAATCCAACCCCAAAGCCACCTTCTCTTTCCGTTGCCTGAAAAAAAAAAACCCAACCCAAAGCCATGGAGCAACCAGTCATTCTAAATAAATAAGGAAGGAAAGACTCCAAACCCACTTTCCTCTCTGCCTTTCAGCCCATTATCAAGATAACATGCCCCCACCCCCCCCTCCCCCCCGCCCTCATTTTAGAAGCAAACCCGCGATCCCGAAGAACCCATCCCTCCAGTTATATATTTTTTTTTCCTGGAGTTGCAGTTTCTTCTTTCATTTGCATTTTAATAGAAAAACTTTTCAGCTGGGTCCCATGCCAAAAGCCGCCCCCTGCATTTAAATGAGGAGTTATCTCTAAGCCTCCCCCCCCTTTCCTCCTTCTCTTCCACTACTTTGGGCAGAAAAGGATGATGAAGGAGCAGCTGGATGCCCTCTGGATTCCCCCTAAGCCAAGCCTTTCTCCACCTGGGTGACTTTTAAGATGGGTGGACTTCAACTCCCGGAATTCCCCAGCCAGCTGGCTGAGGAATTCTGGGAATTGAAATCCACCTGTTTTAAACTTGCCAAGATTGCACACACACACACACACACACACACACACACACACACACACACGCACAGTCAATGTACTGATATATGTATATTAATTTCTATGAATGTATTACATTAATTTAGTAGCTCAATACCCGTGCTTTGCTACGAAACTATGTGGTTGGGCTTAGTTTTGGGGAGGAAAAAATCCATCTGCCTACCAGCATCCATTGGTATTCATCTGGCTAGCGTCCTATCAGCGTTTGGGAGAGTTGAGGGCTGTTTGGAAACTGAAACTATCTTTGCTGTGTGAGCAAGATGGAGACAGCAAGGAGCCTGGGCGGGACTTAGCTCAACTGTTCTGTACTAAAGCTGCTTGGTGCTGTGAAACTGAAACTCAGCTCCTCTGCTTGTATTTAGCATTTGGAAGAGATTTCTTTTCAGGTGTGGAAGGAGAGTCGAACTCCTTAGCATCAGAGCGTGTTAATAATAATAATAATATAGGAAATGCTCTAAATGCTCTGATGGTCATTTGGAAAAATCCTTTCTTAGTGAGCCCCTAGAAGCCAAGAGGAACATATGTGCCAAATTTCCAAGTTTGTAAGCTTTATGGTTCTGGAGATGATATGATATGACTCTTCTGTTATTAGTTTTATTGTCTTTACAGGAGGTTTTATATTCTGTAAGCCGCCTTGAGTCGCCATGTGCGAATCGGCGGCAATAAAATTCCATAAATAAATGACTTAATGAATAATGAATGAATGAATGAATGTAACAATTTATTTTGTTCTTTGGTTTTGCCGAGTAATTTTAAGGTGGGTTTCGTGGGGGCGTTATTTTAGATTAGGGTTTAAGACATGTGGACTTCAACTCCCAGAATTCCCCAGGCAATTTTATTTGAGAGGAGGTTTTTTTTTCCTCACCTGTTAAATGAACCCAACCCAGTTAGCTCATTTCCAGCTCAACAGGTTGCATGGACCCCCAAAACGAGTTAATTCAGTGAATTCTGATCCCAGAAATACAAATGGTCACTCAATAAATCATTATACATCAAGGACTACTTGTGCTCTGAGCTGCACAACTGGGGAAAAAAAAATCAGACAATATTATTCCGTTTTAATGTTGCCAGAACAGAGGTGGTCTTCAGCCGGTTCTGACCCGTTGTGATGACCCGGAGTGTCCCACAAAGGTAACAAAAACCAAAATGTACATAAATATTCTTGAATGCCTTCAAGTTGGCGTCACCGTTCAATTGGTCACAGTTGGAGATTAAACTCTTTCCAAAATAACATTCCAAAAGAAATACAGTCCAAACTGAGATAGCAGATAACAAAACAATAAAAAAAAAACCAACCAAAAACAAACAGCACTGAACAAAGTTCCACAACAGACCAGGATAAATAATTATTACAAACTTCAGGAAAATAACTAGGAATAGTCCATTGGAAGAACGCCAACCAAGATAAACCTCATCCAGGAATAAAACATTAATTTGTCTCCAGCGTTTGCTAGCGTGCAGGTCCAAACTCTTATGCAGTTCTCACACCTGCATCCCATGAAGGGGATCAAGGCCTTCTCCTCCCAAATAGACCATGTTTTTCCCTTATCCTCTCCTCCCTGTGTGCCCTAGGATGGAGAGGGGATTGGCCTGGGTCCTCCTCCTCTGACTGCTCAGCTGGCCTCTGCCCTTCCCCAGCCTCCTCCACAACCTCCGGAGCCACCCTTCCACTCCCTGTCGGCTGTTCCTCCTCTCCCTCAGAGTCAGTCTCCACCAGGGAAAGGACACTGGTTCTAGAGAACCGGTAGCAGAAATTTTGAGTAGTTCAGAGAACCGGTAGTTAGAAGAGACCATGCAGAGGTGGAATTCATCTGATTCTGACCGGTTCTAGAGAACCGGTAGTGGAAATTTTGAGTAGTTTGGCGAACCGGCAAACCCCACCTCTGACTGGCCCCGCCAACCCCATCTCTTCTCCGCCTCCCATTCAGTCCCAGCTGATCGGCTGGGTCTTCTTTGGTTGCCCCGCCCAGGAGAACAGAGCTGGAAAGCAGGTTAGTGGGATGGGGACGGAATGGGAATTTTGCAGTAACCTTTCCCCCAGGAGTGGGGAGGGAATGGAGGTTTTGCAGTATATCCTTCCCCTGCCACGCCCACCAAGCCACGCCCACAGAACTGGTAGTAAAAAGCTTTGAACCCCACCGCTGGACCACAACCACAGCATCTCAGCTCTTCCCAAAACCACGCGAGGCTGCAGCAAAATCTACCAAGTGACTCTCCTAGAATCAATATTTGATATTCCTTTTATTTTTCCTCCCTATTTTTCTTGCCTCCTGTTTGTTTTTGTTTTTTGTTTCTTAGATCCCCAGCTCCAAACCTTCTCTTGATTTCTTACTTCTTTGTTAAGTTTACTCGCAGCTTTCATCGGCAGGGGAACAACTGCTATACATAAAGTAAAATAAATACTAGTCTTTTCCAATCCCGAGAGGGCCTAAGAATTTCCGGAGGTGTTACAATCATTAACACACACACACACACACACACACACTTATTACCATCTAATTTACAGGTGTGTGGTACGTTGCGGCGGCCTATTAATGATTCACAGCTACCTTAACACATTCTAGATGGCACGATTCGCAGGGTTGCGTGTGTGCAGGGCCACGAGGAATCTGTTGTACAGGTAGTCCTCGACTTACCACCGCTATTGAATGGCTGAATCCCCGTTGCTAAGCAAGACATGAGCTAAGGGAGCTTTGCCGCATCGGACCACCTTTCTTGCTGCTGTTGTTAAGTGAATCACTGCGGTTGTTAAGTGAATCTGCCTTTTACTCATCAGAAGGTCGCAAAAAAAATCAACCGTTCGGGTATTCAGACAACTGAATACTGCAGACACGTGAGCAATATATAAGAGCTTTCTTAGGAAGCTTTTGCAAAAGGGAATTCTGCTCATGGGCAGAAGGCTTGGCCCAAATATACAGTCTCTGCCCCTTTCCAGGTTCACGATCTATCCAGCTACGTATCCAGCTATGCAACACCCCTATTTTTGTAGCATAACATCTGTTTCCTCGTCCTGTTTCCCCGTTTCCATTTCCAGTAATCTCCACCATTAACAAGACCCCGGTCAGCGTAACCTGCCAAATATGTAACCTTTATACAAAACAACAGAGAATTCTTACATAATATTCCAGTAAATTAGGTTAACACAGAGATTAAAAAGGGTGCTACCATTGCTTCAAATTTTCACAGGTATAATTTTACATATCACAGGGATCATGCGATTCCTCAATTTACAACCCTTCATTTTGGGACCGTTCAAAGTTCCAACGGCGCTGAAAAAAGTGATTTATGGACGGTTTTCACACAACCGTTTCAATATCCACCATGGACGCTTGGCGATGACTATGTTTGCAACGGTTGCAGGGTCCCAGGGGCCATGTGATCCGCTCTTGCGACTTTCTGACAAAGCAAAGTTGGATTCACTTAACCACATGTTACTACCTTAACCATTGCAGTGATTCACTTAACAATGGTGGCAAGGAAGGTCAGAAAATGAGGTAAAACTCACTTTACCGTGGTCTCGCTTCGCCACGGAAATATGGTCATCCGTCAAGGAGTACCTGTGCATTGACCCATCCCACCTAGACAAGAAGTGTTCTGACCAAGGCTTCCGAGACCGTAATTACGCACACATTTATTTTAAAAACAAGTCTTGTTTTATTGCAACGCTGGGAATTATTTTCATTGCCAGCTGGGAATGAATCTCAAACATTTCCTCGAGATAAGCACCCACCTTTCTTTCCTGTGAAGTGCTGCCAATAACAGAAGTGTCAAATGAACTAGAAAAAAAAGCCAACTGAAGTACAAAGAGCTTCAAGAATGAATCTGAACCAAACGAACGACTTTGCTTCCTGCAAAGGTTTCTGTACCTTTGCCTGTCCTTTATGGGACCTTATGGGAGGGGTCATCACCTCCCAGCCTTACTCCCAAGTCACCCCTTTTGTTTCAGCTGCTCTGGCCTTCTAGCAGCTCTGTGCACTGGGAACAGGCTCCCCTGGTTCCTCTGCCTCGCTACTGCCAGACTCCAGAGACTCTGAAGGGAGCACCCCACTCCCAGATGGTCCTGGCCCCATCTCTGCATTGGACACGGGACCCTCATCCGAGTCCTCCCCAGACTCCCTGACTGATCTCCTTTCTTCCCCCCTGTCCGATTCCGCTGCCGTCTGCACAGACTGTCAGCGAACCACAACAAGAAGGGAAGACATGTTGCACATCCCATCACTCACATCCTGCCAATTTTGTGATAGCTCAACAGTTAAAGACCCTGAGCTTGTCAGCTAGAAAGGAGACAGCCCAGTTTGAGACCCGAGCACTGCGAGACGGGGCGAGCTCCCATCCCTTGCTCCAGCTCCTGTCCACCGAGCTGTTTCGAAAGCATGCAAATGCGAGTAGATCAATAGGTACCACTTCAGTGGGGGAAAAAAAAACAGCATTTGACACGCCTTGGCATATAATCGTCCTGACCACATGGCTACGGAAGTGTCTTCAGACAATGCTGGTTCCCTCGACTAGAAAACAGAGATAAGCAGTGCCTCAACCAGACAGGGGAAATCTTTACGTCTCTACCTGTTGAGAAACCAGCTGGAGGATGTCTCCAAATCTTTTTGGGGGGGAGGGAAGTGAGAAACCTTCCCCTGTTTCCTAAGGGCAGGATATCCCCTTCTGCCATCGCTTCATCAACCGTTCTTGCAAATGTCTTTTTTTGCAAGCGAGTATAAACACCAAATATCTAAGAGGTGACTGTGTGAAATGCCAGAATATTCAAATATGCCCCGAGGCCAACCTCATTAGGAAGCAAGTGCAAAAATATCTTACTTCTCTCTGGAGACATTTCCAACTCAGAAGAATTTCCAAGGGGAGGCCTTTCCCTCAAACAAAACGAGAAACGGCGCAAAAAAATAATAATAAAAAATCCGGGTGAATTTTTTTTTCTATTCAACACTTGTTTTTTTAAGCCAAGCTTTCACCGTACTTCTAGTCCTCTTAATTTAGTGACCGTTATTACAATGACACGGAAAAAAGGTGGCTTATGATCGCGTTTCACACTTACGGCCGTGGTAGCATCCCCACAATCATGTGTTCAAAAGTCGTCCGCTGGCAGGTGGTTCATATTTATGACCGGTGTCAGCAGACATTTCATGACCCAACTAGGTAACATCATCAGGGTTAGAAGGGAGCGGGGTTTGCAAAATGAAGGACGGGGTGGTGATGGGTGATTCTCTTGCAGACTTTTCATCGCCCGGCTAGGTCAGAACAGTAGCCAACTCCGAGACACATCATTCCTTGTCATCCTTGATCCTAGTTTTCCCCCACCCTCTGGGTGTATCATAATTCATATTCTCCAACGGGACACCTCCATAGCCAAGAGTCATCGATCATGCTCTCCAGCTAGAATTATGACCACAATGGGGGGCTAAATTTCTGCTACTAAGGAAGACAGTTGTTAAATGAATTTTGCCCCCTCCCCCCCTTTTTTTAAACAAACTTAGTAATTTATGACTGTTGCGGTGTCCCAGGAGGTCAAGCGAACCAGCTTGGTTCGGCCAGCAAAAATCAACGGGGAAGCGTGAGTTACTCAACAACCGTGTGACTTACTTAACAACTGCAGTGATCCGCTTAACGAACGTGTCAAGAAAGGTCATAGAATGGGGCACAAGCCACTTCACCAATGTCCCGCTTAAGCAGCGGAAATGTTTCTTTTTTTTTTGCTTATTCATATCCATTTCATGTATTCATAGCTATGTTTATACTTATACCTGTTATCTTATAATCGCTTGACAAATAAAATAAACAAATAAATAAATTGTGGCCACTAAGTCGAAGATCACCTATAGCTGCTTTTGTTCGTCCCGCCTTAATATCCACCAGGGAGGTAAACAAGGGCAAATTTGTCTATTTATTTGTTTACTAAATTTATTTGTTGCCCATCTGGCCACAAATAATGACCACGACTTCACATTGTCATGGCGCAAGCTTCTTCTTTTTTTTTTTGCAGAAAGAGCACACCATCACACACACACACACACGCACACACATGTGCAGAAGAGGCAGGGTTGTGTTGCCGTTTGCACGCCAGAAACAGATTTGCAAAGCGGGCAAAGTCGGAACCCCCCCAATTTACCTCTTTTTAGTTTTTAATTGCGAATATTTTGGACTTGACTTCAACAATCTGCTCGGGAGATGGTGAAAGTCACCCTTGTGTGCTGCTCTTTAAAGCAGCTGCGTCTTTTCCTGGATTCCAGGCAGTCTCAATTGAAACTCAGTCAGAGGAGAGCTGGAAGGGACTTCGGAGGTTTTCTAGTCCAACCCTCTGCAAAAGCAGGAGACCCTATACAAGGAGTTCTCAATTTATGACCACAATTGAGCTGGAAAGTTATGTTGCAAAGTGAAAAAATTGTTAAGTGAGTTTTGCTCCGTTTTACAACTTTTCTTTTCCTAATTAAGTGAATCATTGCAGTTGTTAAATTAGTAACACGGTTGTTAACCCATTCCTTTCTCCTTAATAAATCTTATTAAAGAAGAATACAGATAACAGATAATCCGAGTTGGAAGGGACCTTATAGGTCATCTAGTCCAACCCCCGCCCAAGTGGGTGACCCTACACCATTTCTGACAGATGGCAGTCCAATCTCTTCTTGAAGGTCTCAAGTGACGCTCCCACAACTTCCGAGGGCAACTTCTGTTCCATGGGTTGATTGTTCTCACTGTCAGAAAATTCCTCCTTATTTCCAGGCTGAATCTCTCCTTGTTCAGTTTCCATCTATTATTCCTTGTCTGGCTTTCAGGTGCTTTAGAAAATAGATTGACCCCTTCCTCTGAGTGGCAGCCCCTCACTGACCCAGGGACCTTGGGACCCTGCAATCATCATAAATATAAACAAGCTGTCAAGCATCCAAATGTAAATCACATGACCAGGGGGAATGCTGCAAAGGAAAGTGTGTAAAATGGTCACAAGTCACTTTTTTCAATGCCATTGCAACTTTGAATGGTCACTAAAGGAAGTGTGGTATGTTGAGGAGTACCTGTACCTTTTCAGACAGGTAACTTGTCCAGCCTCTTCTTAAATTCCTCCAGTGATGGAGCATTCACAACTTCTGAAGGCAAGCTGAACATGGCTACTTTAAAAGGACATAGTTACTTTAAAAGGACATGGCTACTTTAAAAAGACATAGTTACTTTAAAAAGACATAGCTACTTTAAAAGGACATAACTACTTTAAAAAGACGTAACTACTTTAAAAAGGCATAGCTACATTAAACGGACCTAACTACTTTAAAAGGACACAACTACTTTAAAAGGACATCACTATTTTAAAAGTACATGGCTACTTTAAAAGGACATGGCTACTTTAAAAGAACACCTGGCAGATCTGAAGCACAGACTTACCGTAAAGTAATAGAACTGGGAGGATTTCGCCATGAATTCTGGCCTGCATTCAGCCACGCAAATGTCCACGTATCCAGCATGCTGGCTGAGTTTTGCTTCGCCCATCTCACAGACAATTCTGGAAGGAAAGCAGAGACTTTCAAAGGCTGAGCTTTTCCTCTAATAAGTTACTTAGCAGTTTCCAAAGCTAGATTCATAGCACCTTACTAGCAGCTAGTTGGATTGATTGCAAGGAAAAATGGGATTAGTTTGTAAAACTGTGGAGGGCAGAAATGTACCCCTTGGCGCTCTCTGAGCTTGGTTGTTTCCCTACAGACATTTCATGACCCCACTAGGTAACATCATCAATGTTAGAAGAGAGAGGGGTTTACAGAATGGAGGAGGAGGAGATGGGTGATGATTCTCTTGCACACATTTCATGAGCCAGCTCGGTAACATCATCAGTGTTAGAAGGGAGTGGACAATGAACGCCCTTGCTAATTTTGGTGTTTTGAACAGGTAGTCCTCAACTTATGACCACAACGGAGGCCTAAATTTCTGCTACTAAGAAAGACAGTTGGTTGGATGGATGAAAGGATGAGTGGATGGACAGATGCGTGGATGGATGGGTGGGTTGTAGGATGGATAGATGGGTGGGTGGATTGATGGATGGATGAATGGATGGATGCATGAGTGGATGGATGGGTAGATGAATGGGTGGGTGGATTGTAGGATAGATATATGGATGAATGGATAAGTGGATGGATGGATGGTTAGGTTGTAGGATGGATAGAAGGGTGGATGGATGGATGAGTGGATGGGTGGATGAGTGGGTGAATGGGTGGGTAGGTTGTAGGATGGATGGATGGATGAATGAGTGGATGGATGGATAAGTGAATGGATGGATGAGTGGATGGGTGGTTGGGTAGGTTGTAGGATGGATAGATGGATGGGTGGGTGGGTGGATGAGTGGATAAATGGATGGGTGGGTAGGTTGTAGGAGGGATGGATGGATGGTGGAGAGGGAAGCACCAGGATTATCTAGAACTATTGATTAAATTGGGAAGCCAGTCAAACCCCCAAGAACCTTAAAAGAAGTCCATGGAAGTCAGGTTTGATACTGTCATTAAGAAAAACAACACGGGCTCTTCTGCAGTGTCCCCCCAGATCAAGCTCCACTTGTGGGGATCCCCCCCACCCCCCACCCCTTTGGTTTGTAAGTCCATATCCCTTTGCCACCCCATCCTGGGCCTGAAGGTTTTCTGGATATGCTGCACCCTGCAGACCTCACTTACTGCTCGGCTGGGATATATCCATCCATCAAGGGGACGCACTCCACGCCAGCAACTTTGACATGGGATGCGATGTCCCAGAACTCCAGGCCGAGGTTTTCTCCTCGGATGGTCACTCTGGTCCCTCCTTCACGAGGTCCTCTCACTGGACTTATCTACGGAAACAAAGTTCTGGTTAGGAAAAGGCGGAAAGAAAATCAAAAACCGCCTCTTGCTCACTTCTCTTTGAAGGAGAACGATGAGATCTTTCCTTCCCAGGTAAACCATCCTGGTTTACAGGTGGTCCGCAAGTTACAACAGTTTACTGAGTGAATGTTCGAAGTGACGACGGCAGTGACAAAAGTGACTGGTGACCATTTTTCACACTTAACGAGCGTTGCGGCATCCCTGCGGTCAACAATGAATCGGATGCTTGGTGACCGACTCATATTTATGACGGTTGCAGTGTCCTGGGGTCATGTAATCCCTTTTGGGATCTTCTGATGAGCAAAGTCAATGAGGAAGCCACTCAACAAGAAGGAAGGAAGGAAGGAAGGAAGGAAGGAAGGAAGGAAGGAAGGAAGGAAGGGTGGAAGGAAGGAAGGAAGGAAGGAAGGATGGAAGGAAGGATGGATGAAAGGAAGGAAGGAAGGGTGGAAGGAAGGAAGGGTGGAAGGAATGGTGGAAGGAAGGATGGATGGAAGGAAGGATGGAAGGAAGGGTGGATGGAAGGATGGAAGGAAGGAAGGAAGGAAGGAAGGAAGGAAGGAAGGAAGGAAGGAAGGAAGGAAGGAAGGGAAAGAGGAAGAAAGACTACAGACCAAAACCTTCCGATTCCATCAGATTAATTTCTCTAGCGTTGGGAGCTCAAAAATTTTGGTCTGCCACTGGAAAGCAAGTTATTATTTAACAAAATAACAGAGCTGGAAAGGACCTTGGAGGTCTTCTAGTCCAACCCCCTGCTCAAGCAAAAGACACTGTACCACTGCAGACAAACGACTGTCCAATTGCTTCTTAAAAACCTCCAATGTTGGAGCGTTTACAACTTCTGGAGGCAAGTTGTTCCCCTGGTTAATTCTTCTCACCATCAGGAAAGTTCTCCTTAGTTCTAAGTTGCTTCTCTCCTTGGTGAGTTTCCACCCATTGCTTCCTGTCCTGCCTTCAGGGGCTTTGCAGAATAGCTTGACCCCTTCCTCTTCTTTGGAGATCAGATAAATGTTATCATGTCTCGAATATATGTTATCGTGTCTCCCCTAGTCCTTCTTTTCATTAAACTAGACATACCCAATTCATGCAACTGTTCTTTGTATGTTTTAGCTTCCAGTCCAGGGGTGGGATCCGACAGGGTTAGCTACCAGTTCGGTCATTTACGAGGTTCGGTGATTTACGATGTGCTTCCTTGCACGCTGCCGGCTGTGCCTGTAAATCGTCATCAGCATGCTGAGTGCAGAGAAGCAGCCTTTCAAAAAGCCCTTTTTTCCTACTTTTTTTTTTTAACTGCAGCTGTGCCTCCCAAGGCAGCTGAAGTTGAAAAAAATCAGGAAATAAAGGTCAGGTAAGAGCCCAGGTGGGTGGGCAGGCAAAAACATCAGCAGACATAGAACCGGTTCTATGTCTGCTGCTCTTCAGAGCTACCGGTTCTACAGAGGTGGACAGAACCGGTAGAATCCCACCCCTGCTCCAGTCCCCTAATCGTACTCTTTTCTAGAGTCTCAACATCTTTTTTACAACCGAATCTGACAATATGTCTAATTCTCTAAAGGTAAACTGCATCTCCCTTTCCTAAACCCCTTCGCAAATATCATTTCGTCCTATCGTATCATGCTCTTTTCCAGATTTACAGACAAAGCAGGCCTTCTTTACAGTGCGTATCTGAGGATAACACCCATTTTCTTCTCCGACTCACTTTTAATCATTCCGAATGTGAAATGGGTCTTTTTGCAATGATACTGTTGTGGCTTGACAATGGCCAGCAGCAGACTCGGACAGTGAGGAGGTTGGGGAGGAACATGGGCCAGTCCTGGAATCTGGGGAAGGCTCGGACGAGGGCTCTGCATCAGAGACAGAGATGGGGCCAGGGCCGTCCGACAGTTATCAGCTGCCTTCAGAGTCAGACATCAGTGAGGCAGATGAACAGCTGGAGCCTGTTCCCAGTTTGCACATGCACAGAGTTGCCAGAAGAAGGGCACAGCTGAGAAACAAGGGCTGACTTGGGAATAAAGCCACAGGTGGTGAATGGCCCCTTCCCCTAGGGAATAAAAGAGGAGTGAAAGGGGAGTGGGGTTTTGCAGGAGACAATTAGTACATTCGGGTGAAGATCTCTCCCTTCATTCTTGCCAATTAACGGCCTGACAACTCTCCAAGCCTGATAAAGGTCTATAACTGTAAAATAAATAAAAGGGGTTTATCAGGACGACGAGTCAGATAACAGATAATCAGAGTTGGAAGGGACCTTGTAGGTCATCTAGTCCAACCCGCTGCCCAAGCAGGAGACCGTACACCATTTCTGACAGATGGGAGTCCAATCTCTTCTTGAAAGTCTCAAGTGATGCAACTCCCACAACTTCCAAAGGCAACTTCTGTTCCATCGGTTGACTGTTCTCACTGTCAGAAAGTTTCTCCTTATTTCCAGGTTAAATCTCTTCTTGTTCAGTTTCCATCCATTATTCCTTGTCTGCCCCACAGGTGCTTTGGAAAATAGGTTCACCCCTTCCTCCCTGTGGCAGCCCCTCAAATATTGGAAGACTGCTATCCTGTCTCCCCTGGTCCTTCTCTTACCTATACTAGCCAAGCCCAGTTCCTGCAACCATTCATCGTATGTTTTATCCTCCAGTCCCCTCATCATCCTGGTTGCTCTTCTCTGCACTTTTTCTAGAGTCTCAATCTCTTTTTTTATAGTGTGGTGACTAAAACTGGATGCATTATTCTAGGTGTGGTCTTACTAAGGCTTACTAAGGCTTAGTAAGTCAGCTTCGTGCTATTGAGGAAGCTTAGGTGCCCTGTCCAAGCAACCGCCAGTTTGGACCTCATCCACGTGGAGCTGAATAGAAACTAAACCTATCAGTTATTACATCATTTTGAAAGCTTTTTCCGGTTAGTGGGACTCGACCCTGAGAGCAATTTAGCGACAAGGCTCTGGAAGTGACTTGCAATCTTGCAGCCAGGATGTAAACATGCCTTGACGCAAACATAATGGCAGGCATTTGTCTGTTCTCAGGTTATGATGACAGCCTTGGGGGAAATTTAGTCAGCCTAAATTTTGAGGTAGACATATCCAACGACACACTTCCTAAATTTGAATCTCAGTGGGAAGGCATTTGTCGAATCAAGCCCTATGTGTATCTCAGAGAAGCCCCCTCCTTCCAAGCTGTCAAAACAGTTTTCACCAGAATATTATTTATTTCCGGGCTGTTGTTTTTTTTAAAAAATCCATTTATCGGGCATGAAAAAAGAAGAAGGGAGAAGAAAAGAGAAGGGAGAAGCAGAAACAGGAGGAGGAGGAGGAGGAGGAGGAGGAGGAGGAGGAGGAGGAGGAGGAGGAGGAGGAGGAGGAGGAGGAAGGAGAGGAAGGTGAAGGAGAGGGAAGAAGGGGAGGGAGAAGTGAGAAGAAGAAAGA